CTGTAGTTTATAAAGTACTGACAGTAGTGTTTATATCTGTAGATTATAAAGTACTGACAGTACTGTTTGTATCTGTAGATTATAAAGTACTGAGAGTAGTGTTTGTTTCTGTAGTTTATAAAGTACTGACAGTAGTGTTCATACTTGTAGTTTATAAAGTACTGACAGTAGTGGCATCACCTTGTCCAGGTGCTGCTGCTCTCACCTGTTCCACCTTCATAACTTTATTAACAATAAACAGAGACAACAGAGGAGACAGACTGATCAGCTGATGACCTCACAGACACTTCCTGTTTGTGTTTCAGTCCAAAAGAGGAGGAGGACCACCAAGAGACAGACTGTCACCATGACAACAGTGACGGGACCAACAATAACAACAATAATAACCGACGCAAGGTGAGACTACCTGTCCGTGTCTCTGTCTGTCCCTCTGTCTGTCTGTCCATCCATCTATCTGTCTGTCTCTCCGTCTTTCTCTCACTCTCTGTCTCTCTGTCTGTCCCTCTGTCTGTCTGTCTCTCCGTCTCTCTGTCTGTCCCTCTGTCTGTCTGTCTATCCCTCTCTCTGTCTGTCCCTCTGTCTGACTGTCTGTTTGTCTGCAGGACTTGACATCAGGTTTCTTCCATTTGTACAGGACGAGTGGATGTTTTGTCCAGTAGGGTCCGTCCCATCAGATAGCTTAAAAGTCCAAACTAGAGCTGCACCCTGAAAGTCGGAGACTCGTGTCGTCAGTCAGAGACTTGTCAGTCGGAGACAAGTCAGTCGAAGACTCGTGTCGTCAGTCGGAGGCTTGTCAGTTGGCGACTTGTCAGTCGGAGACTCGTCTCGTCAGTCGGAGACTTGTGTCTTCAATTGGAGACTCGTGTCTCCAGTTGAGTCAGATCTCTTCGGGTCAGTCATTGATTTTATTTTTAGCCGGCGTGCTGTGCTGTGAACTTCAGGGACGTTTTGGTCTCCAGACGTTGATGCAGAGTGAGTGCTCTGTCACGGTCACATAACTCTGGGGTACAGACAGACGCAACGCAGAGATCACAGGGATCACCGAGTCTTCATACGATGCAGTCTTTGACTTCCTGTTTGATTTCTGGTGTCAGGAGGAGAAAAAAGTTGCACATTCGTCGCTAGCGCCGTTAGCTTGTTTTAAATGTTACATGAATGCGGTGGTCTCACTGAACGTCCTGTTGAGTGTCGTTCAAACTTTAAAACTTCATCACAGAAAAAAATCTAAGTGTTGAATATCCGTATTGATCAGCCAGATCTGACCAGTTTGGAGAACGTGACACAGTGGTCCCGCTCTAGTTTGGAGTCCTCTGTCAGATAATGTCCCGCTCTAGTTTGGAGAACGTGGGACAGTGGTCCCACTCTAGTTTGGAGTCCTCTGTCAGATAATGTCCCGCTCTAGTTTGGAGAACGTGACACAGTGGTCCCACTCTAGTTTGGAGTCCTCTGTCAGATAATGTCCCGCTCTAGTTTGGAGAACGTGGGACAGTGGTCTCCTGTCCTCTGTCAGATAATGTCCCGCTCTAGTTCGGAGAACATGAGACAGTGCAGTGTTTCCCACAGGACAGGAATCTATTTGTGGTGGTGTGGTGGGGGGGGCATATGGAGGGTGTAGTGTAAAAGTTCGTGTTCAACAAATCAAGTAGCAAGGTTAAGATACATAAGTTGATTAAGAGACAAAAAGATCATATAATCATGTTTCATGTACAAGGCATTATAAGACTCCTTGATCTGCATCTGAATATGATAAAACATTGTTGTATATGTCAAAGTATTCATAGCACCAGACTATGTAATCATGTTGTATGCACCTACTGAAAGAACACACTATGTCTTGTTTAATGATGAAACACATACTCAAATGTTGTAATATACACACACATTCACATATTGTATTCTAAAGGTTCACTTTGTATAAGAATGAGAGCACTGAGGACGGTATAAAAGTCCTCAAAATTCACATGTTTTTTAAAAATAGAGTGAAAGCGAAACCAGACCTAAGGGTAGAAGATTTGGGAAATTCCAGGCTGCATTACACCATTAAAAACGGGCCCAATCAGAATTGGACACAAAGGAAAGTTT